TCATAGAATATTGTCGTATATGGGTCATGATCAAAATGTTGATACTGGTTTGCAAATATCGCAAATTGATTTTGAAAAACACTATCCGATTTATTACTATTCATTGGAACGTCTTGACATGATGAGACAATCTGTTGTTGATATATACTTCCAAGCTCGGGTACAACGCCCTGTTGGTATAGCTGATTATAGAGCAGTTGCTGTTATTCTCAGTGATAAATCAATGTTGTTAGAAGGAATTGGCGGACGAATGAGACTTATTGATGCACCAGTAGAAAACATGTAATGTTTTCAAAAATCATTTGATTTTCCAAACATGTAACATGCAGTTAGGATTTTCACAATAAGATCAATTAAAAATGTAAATTACGTTGTAGAATAGAATGACATATAGTATTGTTAATGTCCAGTTGACTGATGGTCAGGTCAAGAAATTGAAATCAAAGTCGGCTAAAGAATGTGGAACTACAATAACCCTGAAACCCACTCAAATGTCCGGTGGTGCACATAAATTATCATTGACAGATCGTCAAATAAAACATTTCAATGATGCGCTAAAGAACAAACGAGGAGTTCAAATTGATTTTTCGAAAGCAGCAATCGCCAGTATGATAAAATCAGGTGGTATATTTCCGCTGTTAGCTGCTATTCCAGCATTAATTGCAGCGGCTGCCCCAGCGGTTGCGAAGGCTGCAGCGTTAGGAGCCGTTGGTACTGCTGCAGGAATGGCCCTGAAAAAAGCTACTGGGAAAGGCTATAAAAAAGGAAAGGGTCTAAGACTACCAGGAACCCCATACAATTGGTACAAGGGCACGGGCCTAAGAATACCAGGTACGGCTTATTAGTGGAAAAAAACCTTGGATTTTCACCAATGTCCAATTTTGATTTAATTGATGCTGTAAAATCATTATCAATAAAATACTTTAGAGGAGTTTTCATGAGAGATCAATTACCGTCAAAACCAATGAAAAATGAAACGGGTATTATCAATCTTGATAACAGCAGCGGAAAAGGAACTCATTGGGTCGCATATGCAATTGGTCCACGTGGAATTGTCTGTTTTGATTCATATGGTTTAGCTCCACCAAAAGAATTCATGCGATATGTATCTACAATAACAAAATCATCTCCAATTTTTTATTCCACGCTACCAACACAACGGTTAAATGATCCACCGATATGCGGTCGTGAAGTATTAAACGTCCTTGCAGAGATATCTAGATTTCCAAGGAAACCACCACAAGTTGTTGTTAATGAATATACTAGCAGGCAATGGCAAAAACGATAGCGTTATGATTTAGAAAAACGTTAGCGTTTTCGTATAATGATTGATATTTGGGGACGACCTTTATCAGAGTAAAAAAAACATAAACCGATAGTAAATTCGCTGTCGAAAATGTAAAAAAAATAATCGAAGATGAAATCGCCGAGACATTAAATTTGTCAAGTGTAGATCCTGGGGAAATAGTTGTATTTCAAGATCGGCAGGGCAAATTGAAATCTAGTAATGTTTCATTGGATGATGTCTTAATACGAAGACATGACGTCGTTGAAGATACAATAGTGTTATATTCAAATGATGGAAAACTCAAACCAGGTGTACTTGTTTCTACAATCACAGATGCATTAAAAAATTTAGATGAAGAACTTGAAAAACATATAACAACGTATACTTCCCTTCGTAGAAATATTATCAATACATTTTTTGGAACATCAGCGGTAACATCTCCATCTCTCGCTGAAATTAAATCCAATTTTGATGAAATTAACAGGATTAATAGATTTTTTGGAAGACCAGCGGTAACCTCTCCATCTTTCGCTGAAATTAAATCCAATTTTGATGAAATTAAAGCTAATATTAAAAATATTAATGATGCTGGATTTAATATTATTAGAGATAACATTAGTAATATTAAAAAATCTATCGAGGATATTACAAAATTTAAAACAGACAATCTTCCGCTACTTGAAAAAATAAAGATTCCTCATGAGAGGAATATCATAAATATGGTATACACAGTTCTCTATGGATCATTAGCTTGGGAACCTAAAAAGAATACAATAACTCTCACTGTTATTACAAGGGTATTTATCGATTAACAATAATGTCACTGAATCAGTTTAATATATCATCATCGACTTCATATGGATACAACAACGTGATTTCAACGACTATTGACGTGGGTGAATACAAACGGTTTACAATAACAAGCACTGATCCTAATTTAAAAAAGACATCATTTGTATGGTACATGGAGTTTATAGCTGATCTAAATTAGAATTTTTAACAATTAGAAACCACTTGTGATTTTAAAATAATATGATTCCGTCATCGCAATATCGCTATGATACCGTCAAAGAGTTTTTAACGAAACTCAAAACACTCATTGATGAGTATGAAAAAAAAAATTAAAAAGTATCGCAGGAGAATTACCGCAATTGATTTTACAGTATACTCAGTATCTGGTATAATGGCCGGTGCTGGTATTATACTATCTTCAGTAACAATGGTAGCTCCGATTGCTGTCCCAATTGCTATTTCCGCGGTGACAACATTTGCTGGAATTGCAAATGCTATTACTAAAAAAATATCATCGTGTTCTCAAGAAAAACTTAACGACTATATAGTAAAACATCAAGCAGTATCTAACGGTTACTCACAATTATCCTCGTTGATGTCATCATCAATTGATGATACGATAATTACCGAAGACGAATTCTCCACGATGATACGTATTTATGATACTACGATTAAAAACGCTAGCGTTTTTTATCTATTGCAAAATTAGACATTGTAAATAATAATAATAATGTCGCAAGAGATTCAACTACTTCAGCGGATAGCAGAAAATACCACTCCGCGGAAAACAAGCATGATATCAATATCGTCAACAAACCCTAAATTCAGTGTGAATTTTCCTTCACCTGTTTCAGTAAAGGAAATCGCGTTGGCAAAATTACGAGTGTTTCATAGTTGGCCTAATATCAGATCGGTTCCATTTGGTGGTCAGAGACCTAATAATTCCCTGGTATCTGCATATAGAAATAAAAAAGATGACACTCCAGATTGGAACGTTGTTTCAATACCAACTGGGTCCTATCAAATTGAGCAAATTAATAATGAATTACAACGTAGAATAAAATCCATTACTAGAAGGGAATCAAAAATTGCGATAACAGTTCATGAACCAACATTATCATCTACAATTGAAATAGGCTCCCCTGGGTATGTTGTAGATATTTATAACAGTTCAATAAGAACAGTATTAGGATGGCCCGAAGATCCACCTAGAAATGCTGGAAATTCCACGCCCGAGCCTGTAAAATCTGATTACGTCACTGATGAAATAGGACCTGAAAATCCATCAAAAACTTATAAAAAATTCGAGGATATAAACTTCACAAAAAGATATCGATATAAGGATCAATATGGTGAGGATGCATGGATAATTATACTTTTTAATGATTATATTATACGAGAGGACGAAATTTTGGAAATGCATGATACAAGTCCAACATTTGTAGATATTAAAAATCACATCCTTGATAGAATGAATAATGATTTTTTGTTGTTATTACCCTCGTTAAGATCTGGCCTTCTTACACAAGCTGAGTTTACTAGTGTAGTCGCTGCGGGTAATAAAATCATCGATGACATGGAAATATTTAATTCGAGGATTACTAATCTCTTCACTGATGAAAATAACCCGATTTCAAAAATTAGTTCAGCCCAAGATTATAAAAAAATATAAATGAAAATCCAAATTATAAATTACCAGGATATAACATTCCCGAGTTAAAGAAAAAACTCAGAACTGCCATCGACGAAGGATTTAATAAAAATTTATCAATCATGGAAAGATAGCCAGCCAAATCCTATTATCCTCACTCATAATAATTTTCCCGACGGCGACGGTAGACATATCGCACCGAACAATGTGGACATTTCATCGGTGATCGCGCTTAATTTAACGTCTGATGTAATCGAAGGAAGTTATCAAATTAATATGAAACAATCAAATCAAGCCCGACAAGGTTACATTCTTTATTCATTTGCGCCAATAGCTCCTCCAGGATTTTTAATTGTTGAAAATCCGACTAATCCAGTCTATATGCAATGTCCAAATGATTCGCTAACTAGAATTAATTTTACACTCACCGATCAGTCAAATAATTTAATTGATTTACGTGGTGAAGTATTAACGATTAGTCTGTTTGTGAAAAGCTAACAAATAATTGGTTAAATAATTTGTATTAATCAGCAGCAGGGAGGGCGAGATGACAACATATTTGCGACGTAGATGGCAGCAATTTGAGGGTGGTTATGACAACATATTTACGACAAAATCGCTAAGGCTCCATTTTACAAATGGGGTCTTTATTTTTTTTTTTTGGTTAAAATATGAGATTTCGTAGGAAGGCTCCATTTGGCATTCTGAGGCTTTAATCGATTTTGTCGCAAAATTTTGTAGGGTTCGCCCTCCCTGCTGATATATATATATATATATATATATATATATATATATATATATATATATATATATATATATATATATATATATATATTACAAAATTCGTTATCAAAAATAGTTATTATTTCATTTATATCAAAGTACTGAAATAGTAGATTTAGAGGTAAAATTTTTTACTTGTATAAAATTCATTATCAAATTCAGATAAATACAAATGTATCAAAGTGGTCATCCACTGCGATGATATCAATACTGCCAACGATAAACCACATAAAATATATGTTGCTAGTGATGTGATTATGATTTTTAACGTAGCTTTAACAATTTTTCAGTCATATCGCTACGATGTCTGCAGTGTGGCAGTTTATAGTAATGTCTAGCACTGGGGCATCATGCCGCAGACATGTAGCATGATGTCCCACCAAGTCACATTATCCTGATACCAGGCCGACCAGTCCTAATACTAACCTCTTAATGCTGAGTGTCAAACGAGGCAGCTGTTAGTAACATTTTTGTAAGTTTTTGGTATTACTCGACCGGGGATAGAGCTCATGACCTCCCGCATCCGAGGCGGACTCTCTAACCACTAGGCTACCGAATATAAGGTGATAATAAACCACACATAATAAAGGCAGTGAAGGGGGAGCTACTTTATGGTTTATCGGACTCTTATGTCAAAAACAGTGTCCAGGCACTGAGGTATCTATGGAACTCTAACATTGGTGGGCTACTCTAGGATCAATTGGAATTTTACATACGGAATGTATAGTGACAATAGACTGGGCCTGTCTAGGATCGATAGGAATTGGAGAGGGATGACGCCACGGTAATGGACATTGGCAACAATGTTGTTAAGGGGCTGACCTTAATCGGTTCGGAACAATGTTCAAAAGGACTACCTGAATACGCGTTACTCTAGTGACAAATAGAGACATAGACATTGAGAAATGGTTAGAAACAGAGTTAGAGACATAGACAGAGACGTAGACAAACATAACTAATTTTTTGTTTAAACAAGAGAATAGATATCTTTTCAAGGTAATGGAGTGGCCCTGAAAAGGGCCTTTGTTTATTTTGTTATCACTGTTCAATTAAGATAGAGGGCATCGGACATGTCTTCTTTTCTTCCTCATTGTTCGTTTTACCACTGGACCGTAGATCAAAACCCTCTTTAGACAACCTTGCCTCTCCACGCAGAACAAGAAAAATTAATTTCCATTTTTGAAAATCACTTTTCGGATAAAATTACGGGATTTACCAAGAAATATTGCTATGGATGTGAAAACAATCATCCCAGTCAAATTCAACACGATACATGTTTGATCATCAGTCAAGAGGAAAAACTACGAGTATGTGGATGACGCTTTGGTCTCATCTCGGAAGAAGCAGTATTGCATTAGTGGTATAAAGACTTGTGTGATCGTTCCTCCCCTCCATTGACTGCTCTAGAGATCCATCGCATTGAAAGTCTCTTTTCAAAGAGTACGGAGACAAAGCCAAGAAACTTTCACTTCACAGAGATTTTCAAGCAAAGTCAGAATTGTATTGATGACGTAAGCAGCAGAGAGGGTGAAAAGGCATATTGCCTGAAACCTCATTAATGAATAATAAGCCTTATACGGCGATGAAATGTTTTCGTCAGCGACGTTAAACCAGCAACTCTAACTTTGCTTCGTAAAAACCCCAACAAGGTTAGCTTGGGTTGTTACCGCGACTAGGCTTATTTTTTTCTTCACTTTTACGTGCCGCGTTTTCGTGCTGGTCATTCACAGTTCACAGTCTCTCTCTCTCTCTCTCTCTCTCTCTCTCTCTCTCTCTCTCTCTCTCTCTCTCTCTCTCTCTCTCTCTCTCTCTCTGCTGTTATCATAATAACAGCACTTTAGAATCTGTTTATCACATAATGTGTCTGTGTGTTATATTTATTTTTTGAAACGAATATTTGTTAAGTGGCTCCATGGCGCATTGCTAGCGCGTCTGGCTCTCGTACTCTAGGCCCGTGGTTCTATTCTTTGTTTCAGACATATTGTCGGGGTAGGCAATTGATGCTAATTGTTCTTAATAATTGGGGTCCGCGACCCATTCTTTCGAATTTCAGCAGAAGAACACACCTACCCACCATGTCAGCACGTGGTAGATGCTGTTGTTGTTTTTTTTGTTTTTTTTTTCACTCAACCGGGTTGATTAATGGGGGAGATTGAACAAAATCTGTTGAACGTAGAGAAAGCCCCATATACATTTTAGTTTGACACTGACAAAATGCAGAAGGGGGATACATTGCTATGGTTTTACAGTACTACGGAGAGTAAGTGCTTGCATAGGGCGGATACAATTACTGATTCTAAATGTAGCGGTTTGTTGCGCAGTTACACTAAAAAAAAAATATTTATGAGAGGAAATAACTGCTTCATTTTTATATCGTTGTGATAGACTTATTTCCCTTGACAATCAAAGACCAAATATTCTATCAATACCATTACGATACCTCGACCTAGGTTCATGCAAGTTTATTGTCGTTGAACCAAATGGAGTAGTTTGAGCTTTTGAAAAGAAATTTTTACATTTAATCATGTCCATATCCCCTGAACACCAAGTTTAATGAATATTTCGAACCGTATGTGCATCGATTCCGTTAAAAGCAACTAAAATATTACATTTATCTCTAATTAACTTTGGAATAACGCTTTGTAACATAAATCACGTCCGTATTTTTGTCTGCCTCTGGAAAATATCCGGGCAGGATTGACTGTTTCTCCAGCATGACATCATTGTACACTACTAAATTATTAATACTTCCATCCAGGCCATCTATAAATGACGCTTCGTCAATATCAGTGATAAAGTCTATAACGTCTCTGTCTTCATTTAAAGATTTTGCATTTTCATCAAAATCTTTAAGTACTTCATAACATCGCTGATCGTCTACGGATGAAGATTATAAATACAGTTTATCCCACTTGAGCCATCTCATTATCAAATTAAGTAATAATTGTGCTTTGCCTGATCCAGATGGACCTATTATTCTCATTCTCATAGAATTCGGTAGAGCTGGGTGATGATTGACTGGCTATGTTTTCGTGCCGCCGAAAAGTCAATTATATCCATATGATAAAAAATATCAATCTCTATCGTGTTCAATGCAGAGTAGTCACGTTCACCACTGGATTAATAATAATAGGGAAAAAATAAAAGCAAAAAAATAATAAAAAATAAACGCGCACTGACAGGTAAGTGTCGAAAGTGGGGCACAAAAATACAAATTTATTTTAAACACAGCGACGGGAGGTGATATCACCACCTCGTTGGGAAAATTGCCAGGACTTCCGTGGGCTATATATCCCGGGGAAAAACATCGGTTTACAATTATTGTGCACCAGGAACTTGTTTCGACATTCCTCTTCACAATCAAGATCAACCGCAACCGTAACCTGTAGAGTATCCAATAAACAAGATTGATCAAGCATGTTCGTTTATGACACTGCTTATCAAGATAAACAACAGCGACATCTCATAGATATCAAACTAATTTATACCATAAATAATATAAAAAAATAAATCACTTCGAGAAAAAATAGCTGCTTTTTTATACAAGCTGGTATAACAAGCAATATTATGTTAGGGGCTGGGTAATTAATTATATAACTATTATAATTTAGTCCATTTACTATTCCCCGAAAAGATATTGGAAGTCAGACCAGCTATCATGTGATGTTGCTGCAGCGTGCAAGCAATATATCAAATATATGTACCACCGCCTAAAAGAAATAGTATGAATATTTTGATGTCAGCTCCCCTAATTAAGTTCATCTAGCATATATTTTGTTTTTAGCGCACGATGCCAGTAAAACACGTAGACGTAAATCATGCAAATATCGTTGATGTTGCAGGTAGATATAAAGAAGCAGAACCACTGTCAACAAAAACATCATCCGAAGTTTCATATGCATTTGAACGAAGATCCGGACCACAAGGTGTTCTAAGATGGCCACGGTTGCTACAGGCTGATCCTGGCAAATAATTGTTTGCTGAAGTATCTTCGCTGATGAAAAATATGTCAAAATCAGACGAGGACATATTGAAATTCATCGTGATCAGGCAATAGTTAAACACTTGCTGAGCGGTTATTTGGATACCAATATGTAAGAAAATTTCCAATTACCTTAAGTCAGGTGATAGGTCTTGTGAATATGTTGAATTATTACCAAATGTGATAGCTGCGTTAAATAATGAAATTACGCGTGTAACTTCTATGAAACCTATTAATGCAATTACAAAGAAGCATATACACCATAGCGATGGTTACGGACAACTACATGAATTTTCAAAACAACCAGTGCTAGGTATTGTGAATGTCCTGTATTTATATGAACCTAGTGAACTTAAATTGGTTTTTTAAAAAAGAGCAACTGTTCTTATCTGGCGTGTGACTACACATAAAATTTCGAGCGTGGTAAGATCCACAGGTAGACCGGCCATCTTCAGACTAGATTCAACGGCTCCTCAACGTCGATTTGTATGTGAACAATTACATTTAATTCCTGAAGACACACAATTACTACCACGTTCACTTTTGTAAATTTGCACCCCGACAGGTCATAATCACAATATTACGTGAATAACCAAGATTAATATTAATTCTGTCTACGGTGAACTGTCTTGGATAATTAATCAAATATATCCACAGCATTTTAGAGTTACAACTTGCACAATGACTATTCCTTCGTAGTTTAAAAGTTATAAAAATTCAATATCAATATAAAATTTCACAATTATTTTTTGTCACTTTGTTTATAACCAAAATAATTTGTCTTATTACGTCAATAACTCCATTGTCACTAATGACTAGATTATCATCTAATGTAGTGTCTATAATAACTCTGTGCAGTTAAGATATTCTCTTGACTCTAGATACTGCGAGATAAACTAAATTTGACCACTCTTTTATCATTGGCAATCCAGATATTTGTATCAGTAATAGATCGTTCTTGTGACGCAAGAATCGTTATAGCATATCCTAATATTCATACTCAACGAACTCTCAACAACATCAACATCAATCAAACAATATCATTTAATATAAGATTTTGCTTTTCATTTCTTCTCGGAATGTCAACTTCAATATCTTGTCGTTGAGTGTCCCCTGGGCGATAACACAGTGGTATAGTAACGTTGAAAACCTTTCTTTATGCAACAGCAATATTTTCTCTTGCAATTCACCACGAACTATATTTCTACTCGCAACTATTAAATCATTTGGTCTCCATAAATTCCAAAAATCGTTCACAGAAGTTTCTGGAATTGTTTCACGCATTATCTCACGTTGTATTTTCTCTGGGTTTAGTCTGATCAAATCTTTTTAATTCTTTCAGAAGTTCATCATTGGGACTATGATCATTGGTTATCTACTAATAATAATCCACAAATATTCTTAACCACTCGTGCGGAGACTGTCCAACAAAGGTGGCGGTTGACAATGACCTCCGCACATAATCACACCGTACAAATCTCATCCCTCGTCCCAGATGATGATTTTCGGAACATATGTTTCACACATTCGTTTAGGTGTCCATGTATCTCCACACCATCTGAAGAAACTACGATAAG